CAGGAAATGAGAAAAAAAATCAACTGCAGGAGAAGAGAGAATCCCGCCTTGCCTATACACACACAGAGCTGACATACATACTCTTTGGATATAGTTTTCATGATCTGCTTCACCATATTGTCTTTATAGCTGCCAGATACAAAGCTTACTGCTTTGTTTTTAATTGAAAACCAATTTTTATTTTAAACAAAAAGTAAGCAACATGGATAAGAAAAGAGACAGCTCTATGAAATGCATGTTGTAACGAACAAGCATCCACCTGATCCATTGTGGGTGGACTCAATAAAATCAAGTTGGTTTTTTCTGAGACAGGGGCTAACCTATGAGACTTCTACAACAAATGCGAGGCTTTTGTTCCCTTAAGTAGGTGTCCAAAGTCCAAACCTATTCCAACAAAACATATAGAAGTTTTGCTTACATAGCAGTAGGAACCCTCAGAAAAGGCTTAATATATTCTACCATCATCACAAACACTATTTTTTTAGCTGAACCAGATTCCAATGACTTTCTTATAGAAAAATAAAAGCAGCATGGTACCTGATCTGTTATGCAGTTCTCCTCCATGCCTGTTAATTCCCGCAATGTTATTGGATCCACCAGAAGAATGGGGAGAATGGTTGAAGTTGTTGGAATTTGAAGGAGATGCAGGTCTTCTTGCAAATGCTGGTAATTTGACTGGCCTAGTACCTTTGCTAACAGACGTCTGGAAAACAAAACAAAAAAATCCATCTTTCTTATTTGAGCAAAACAAAGATGAAACTTCAGCTCCTATTTTATATATTTTACGTTCTGAAACTTCCACTGAAGAACAAAATGGGTATCAAAAATAATCTTATTTTACATATACAAATACATTGATTATATATTTATATAAACATATATATGTATATATATTATATATATATATTCAACAAAAGAAATGACACCATAATGAAGGCTTTAATTCTCCTTAATCTTTGGCCAAACCAAAATGAGCGTTAACAATGCACTTGACACACAATATACACAATATTGCAAGTGGAGGGGGCGAGGTGAAATAATCACATGTGAAACTTCTTTCCTGCAGAATCCTGAGTTTGTCTCTCCCATCTTACAAAACAGCTAACACCTACTTCTCAGCCATCATGTCCCTGTTTCTTCTTAACTAAGCTGCAACAAGTGACATGAACTTTCTCTTCTCCAGTTCCATTTTCATATCCCCTTCAATCAAAACATCTACCTGCACCATTTTATTGACTATTGTTAACTGAGGCACTAATGATCTAACTACAGGCTAGCCAAATCCTCAGCCACATCCACATCCTCCTTCAATTCTTTTGCTTTTACACCACTGGCCACCACCAACCATCTGACATATGGCTCGCGCAGCTCAGTCTTTTCATGTTTTTTATCCTGTTGCTCAAATCACTTCTTCCAACTCTGACTTACTAGGTTTCTCTCCTTCTCCCTATTCCCTTAGAAAAACCCTTCTTTCCTCATAGAAGGATTGATGGCTAGTTCTCTCCTACTTTCCCTGCTCCTCACTTTATATGTGGATGCCAATTATCCACTTACATTATTACAATCATCTTTTTCAGGATTATGAAAAAAACATTTACCTTTCTGTGATCTATCACTTTCCTTGTAATACTCTGCCTTATTCCACCTAAATCATCTCTACTGGTATTAAGCTAAATGTCACTTAAAAAAGAGAGACAGAAAAAAATCCTCCTAAAATATCTTTATTGTCCCATTGCTAGAACTGACATGAAATACAGTTCTGGACTAGTAAAATAAACTCTTCTCTACATTTGTCCATTAAAGTCAGGGGAGTAAGTGCTGCTTTTTCTCCTACCAAATATGAAAGGTTGTCAAGGTTGGTTTACTTTCTGTCTGAAGACAAATGAGCTATTCTCCTTTTTGTTTTGCACTTTCACTGAAAACCTTGTAGAATCAGGCAAGGTATTTCTATAAAAAAATAGAATTTATTCAGACTTTTTCCCTTTTTACAGTACTTGCACTTTAAGATTGTATGCCTTCAAGCCTACTTGATCACTAATTGCTACTATTTTATCTATTACTAATATTTCAGAATGTTCTGTCTGTATACTTATGTCTTGCTGACATTTCCTCCCCTGGTTCATAAAAATTGAGAAACATTAATTCTTTTCTTCTACCCCTAGTCTTCTTCCAAACCAGAGCAGTTTCTGCCACACTCCAATGACTGTACCTGCTCTGGCAACTAAAACATATAGGTGGAACCAGCAGCCACTTTAGCAGTTTACAGCAAATTTGTTAGGGCTAGACTTTATTCTGGTTAACAGCAAAGAACTTGTTTCATTCCATAGAAAACTTTTGTTTGATTTATTTTCCTTCCATAGAGATGTGTAGTATTCCTAAACAGCAGAGCTTAAAAGGACAAGCCACTACTGAGACTGTGGGTTTAAAGACATTTCTGATAAAAAAAAAATAAAAATCAGTGTGGCTCACCAGTCAGCATGGCCTGGACATAACACAGTATTTTCATACACATTTTGTTTGCTTACTATATCAGAGCTCCCACTGCTGTTAAAATCGTGCTTGATTGCCCTCTGTGGCCAGGCAGTTCTCATCTGTTCAGCTTTTCCATCTTTGCTGATTCGTGTTCGGTCAGAGTTCCAAAGCTCAAAACTTGAGGGCGGTAAGAAAGGCGGTATCACTGCTTTCAGTTTATCGCTGGGCAGCCTGGTAAATGGCGCACTACTTCTCAGCTGAGAGAGGGAAACAAAGAAACGAGCCTCTTCTGATGAAAGATTACTGGGAGCTAGCTGATGATGTAGTTTCAAAATTGTGAATTAAATAAAAAAATGAAGACAAATCTATTTTTAAACAAAATAAAATGGAAAAGAGACACAACAGTAGTATTTGTGAAGATGTACAACACGTGATAGCAGAGAGAATCCAAAGGACATTCTGGCACACGTCAGTACGCTCGTTCATTTAATGCAACAAATATAGTTCACTGAGTGTCAGAAACTGTCTCTTCCGTCATTAGGCTGAATCTTGCTTCAAACAGATTTAAACAGAAATGTTAACAGTTAATTCCCAAAGAAAAAACAAGGTAGTCCGCTCTATACTCCCAGATGGGACACCTAGAAATGGCAAACAACTGCCTACTCCTGCTGCATGTGTTCTCCAGAAAGAGAAAAAACTGACACAACTGATTTAGCTCCCTCGAGTTCTGTCAGTCAGTCGCATCAAAAGTTACTCAATCTTCTTAAAAAGAATATAAAGGATAACCAGCCAAATTTAGTGACATCTCCAGGGAGTAATCTGTAGGGGAATTTAAAGCCACAGCATAACAAAAGAAGAAATAGAATAATATAAATAAACATCCTGAACTAAATATTTCATGGTTGCCTCTACAAGTAATCTCTCACTTTATCATTGTACCATGTTCCATCCATGTTTTCCTCACAGCACACTGCTTGTCAGCAGCCTAATCAGCTGTTCCATCTATTTTACTAATTCATTGCTGATCATACAATGGTTTGGATAACTCTTGAGAAGTCAGTACTTACCAACAGGTTCCATACTGTACTACTTGTAGCAGTTTCTAGCCTAAGAACTACTGATATATCACAGTCTGTCAGTTCCTGTCTAGTGACTATCAACAAATGACAGCTCTCTTTCTCATGGTGACTTGGATAGGAGATTAAAAAAAAATAAATAAATGATGGGAACCACATGACCTTCTGAATTGGGCTGAACACACCAAGAACACACCAAGAACACTGTGACATACCATGGTTGTCAATAACTCATCCTCCTTTCCTCCTTTTGCAGTGTTTACACCTGAAAAATATACAAATGATGTTGTGTTGTTTACACACTCCTACTTTTGTTCTCAAAGATAGCTTATTGCTTTCAAACATTCAACAGCTTGACCCTCAGTAAGCACACAGAACCAAGATTTCCAGTGACACTGTCATGTATGTAAATTAAAGTTAAGCAAAGAGTCTTATTTCACATCACAAACTGCAGGGGTTTTGCATGGAGAGCGGTACAATTTCAGCAGATGTGCTTTACGATTTGGGCTTTTCCAATCTCTCTCTCTTCTCAGAATTATTTATTCATTTGTTTAAATAAATTGGTTTTCATCACATAAATCTGTTTATCAAAGATACTAACAATTTTTAGTGACCTTTCTCTACTGTCCAATTTAATGGTGCTTGCTCCAGAATAGTAACATTGTTATATTAGCATTTTCCTGCTTAAATGATGCTGTGCTCAGCATTCAGCATGATCAACAGTCACGAGTACAAACGTGTCTTTTTCTTTACGCTACGAATGCATCACGTCTCTTTTCAGTTACTTTAAGCTAAATACTAACTGAATCAATAGATTAAAAATAGTATTATTTTGACTATCCCATAAGTGCTCACTTCCTAGCTTTAACACTAGCTTTGTTACTTGTGATCGGAGCTGTAGCAGCATCAAGGTTTCCAGACGTGTCCATATCACTCTGTGAAACTGCTTTAATGGTGGAATTTAATGATGGTTCAGGCTCATCAGGAAAAGGCACAAACTGATTGGAAGGAAATCCATGGCGCAACGTCTGAGTCAACTTCAGCTTGCGGAATCGATTGGACATCCTGCTCCACCAGGACTAGATTGATAAGAAGACACAACAATTTAGTTCAAACTGAAAAAAAACCCAAAAAAACATGAAAAGAAATGTACAATTAAGTAATCCTTACAGCCATGATAAATCTGTCAAAGAGTTTTTGAGATAAACTACAAAAGCAATGTTAAAGTGATTTGCAATTGTCAACAGAATCCTTCATCAGAATTTGTATGCATAAGATTAATCTCTTTCCTCATTTTTCACCTGACAAATGCCTTACAGTATTTTTCCACATTATCTGGAAAGACAAGGTAGATAAAGGTATTAGGGCAATTTGAATAGGAAATTTTTACAGCTGCATGGCAAATATTTAATCTTCCCATTAAATTCTGATTTCACCATCCATTCTTACACTCTGGCATCAATGAACTGGCATGTATACCTTCTGCTTTTTAGAGGTGTGCACAGAAGTTTATCTGATCTGCATGAAAGCCTCTCCTTAAGATTTTCAAAATCAGTAGCAAACTGGAAGAGTTCTGATAGAATTCCTGTCAAACTAAAGATCCACAGTTCATATAGGGCTGCTATACAGATAACGTAAGCCCTGACAGACTGGAAAGACTATAAACTGAAAAAGAGCAAGGCAAGGAAACACCAGCTGTGAAAACAACACAAACCTTAGCACTACTGCACCTACAACCTCCATTCATGCAGGTATCACGTGTGGAGACTGTTACCTGAGAGGACCATCTTTGCTCAAAACAAATTTTATCCAAATATTTACAGACTTACACACTTTTACAGGCAGACAGTGCAAGATGCTTCAAGTCTTTAGCAGGACATTTCTCTAGACTGTATGAGACCTATAGGCTACTTTAGGAAGACCTATGTAATCTGTATTAAAGATTATGTGGCTTGTAGGTAAGTAAATCAGATTATACATATCTTCTGAGTATTTCTTAGTAAAGCAGCTTCTTCCTTTTCTGGAATACTTTTTAAAAAACATAATAAAGTCATGTGGAACTGATGATACCTCATCAAGGCAGCTTTATGTGATATTCAATCCAGGTAACACGCTTTCCTAGTTTACTCTTTATTCTTAGCCATTCCTTCTCCCCATACATATTCCCCTCTCTCCTTGACATTTAACATTTTTCAACTGCTAACTGAAATACGTCTTCGCAACTGTCATACAGTAGAACTAAGTAATATAAACTGTAAACTTATTCCCTGTAAATCAATCCTTCTAGCAGATGATCATTAAAAAGATTTTAAATCTGCAGAGAGTATTGGTAATGGACAGATTTCCCAGACTTATGTATCTCTTTGGAGCCATAACTAAAAATGATTTACAGCACTTTCAGCAACAAAGACCTGATGGAAAAAAGCAAGAGAGACAAATAGTTCCTAGAAAGCAAAAAAACCCAGTTCAGTATTTATTCACCTTCCAAATGGAACTGAAAGGGAAAAAAAATACATCTAGTTTTAATGCAGAGTACAATGAGCTCACAAAAGAGTCTGCTTGCACAATGTGGTTAGTTTGTTAAAGGAGCAAGCTAGCTTCAGTGAAAAAGGAGATCACTTCTCAATTCCTATCATCTTTGCTGTTCTTCACAGTGCTTCTGCTTTGTTAACATATGCTCACATCACAAACTAACCCAAAATGGATTAAGTACAGCCACTATGCTCCAATATAAAAAACTACTGTTCTCTGGCAAGAAAAAAACAACAGTGGAGAGGTTCATCTTGTCCTCTGGTGTCCAGAGTATGGTGGTCTGGAGTTTCCAGCCAGCTGCTGCAGAAGGTTGTGGCCTCTCCATATACCCTACCACATCACACACGTACAGAAGCTGGAATAAAAGGCTTTAAACTAGACTGAAGCTGCCAAGTAACAAAAATGCATTTGTGGTTAAATATAATGCCTGTCAAAAGGCTGAAATCTAGTAGCAATGAGAGAAGGCAATAGAATCAAAGAACAGAAAAAAACGGTGTTGCCACTTGAGAAATACCTTAGACATTTGTAACATTATTAGGAATGAAAGAATAAGAGGAAGAACTGGAAATCTCTGCCCGCAAACAACTTTAATCTAATAAAGAAACTGAATGTGATAATTCACACTGCTCTAATACTGACATTGAGAGTATAACCTGCCAAAGAAGCACAGGCAAGAAGAAAGAGAGGAAATAAAAATTTGCATATGGAAAAGAAATGACCTTGTTTCCAAATCCACAAAATGGTGAGAAACATAGTAGTTAACAGTTCCTGTGCAAAAAAAGATGAAGAATGAGATCATGGTTATCCACGACATAATCGGTAGGTAAAGGAACTAGGGCTTGTATTATGCATAAATTACAAATAAAAGAGACATAAAACAAAATAAAAAGCCTACTAGTCAATGACAAAACTGATCAAACAGGAGACACTGAAAAGGGTTTGTTTTTTTTAAACTTCGAAAGCAGCCTACTTGTGATCAGACATTTTAAGATGAATACCGTTAACAGGAGGAAGGTAGGAATATACATGCATTTGCTTAACAAAGTAAGAATATTTAAATGAGCTTACACAAACTGAAACCAGATAAGACTGATTAGAACTACCCTAGAGTAATTATAAACAACACAACCTTTGAGTAAATACTGATTATCTTCAAGATGAGTCAAGAGGATGAAGGAAGTTACAGAAGTCAGGCAAAAGACAAATACATAATCATCTTTACCCCAAAGAGAAAAATCTGAAAATTTACTGACCAAAAAAGCTTAACTTCAAAGGACATAACTGAAAAAACTTTGTACGTCATCACAGCTCATAACAGACAGCTGGCATGGGTTTGTTGGGAATAAATCCCACCAAAGCAATCCCTGTGACAGCATAACTGGTCAAGTGGGCAGAAGCGGGGAAAAGCTGTAACATAGCTTGACTTTAATAAAGCTTTTATCACTGTTCCATGTAACATCCATTAAATGATCGAGGAAAACGTGACTCAAGTAAAATTAATATAGGGAAAGCATTGTAGCAAAAAAAAATATTAAGAGACAAATTACCAACAATTTGATCTCAAATTGGGAGGACATATTTTGTGCAGTGAAATGGGAGTTTGGAAATGTTCATTAATAACAGCAACAATGAAACAGAACATACTTTGCAAAGTCTATCTGCACGGTTTTGTGAGCACCTTGGATACTCTAAATTTAAACAATGACAAATTGACATTACTCAGTAGGGATCAAGCTGATGTGTAAGAAGAAATTGAGTGTACAAATACAAAAAAAGAAGTAGCAAAGCAGCTGTACTAAAGAAAAAAAGAAAATCAGAGTCATAACACACTATAAACAGTATAAGTCCACAGTGCCTTACCAACCCAAAAAAAAAGGTGAATTTCACTAATAACAGCATGAAATACACAACTGTGCAAGTAGTTCTTGTATGCCACTATGCGACACTGAGTTTCCTTTCTACATCATCCTTCCTTCTTCTAGAGTCTACGAAATACTATTAAAGTAAAATAAAAGAACTACTGCTGCAATTCCTACATAAAACAAACATATAAATCAGCAGCTTCTCACTATGTTAGGAGATACTAGCCAAATCGCCATAACACATCCACTCCGATTTAAAAAAAAAAAAAAAGAAAAAAATAGTAATAAGTATTAAAAACAGTCTGCTAAAACGGGAGTACATTTGGATTTTAAAGGCAGATTTAAAGTTAAGTTCATAATGGAAATTCAGTTCCAAACTTATGAACATAGTGCCTTCCACTACTTGATTATAAGATCTACTTCTAGGCACTGAAATGCTTCAATGCAAACTCTTCCTTAAAAGTCTTCCCTTTGCATTGCCATTTGACAAAAATAAAGCTGAACACATGCTATATTTCACAAAACCAGGAAGCACTGTCAATGAGGAATTAACACACACCCCAAAAAAAACCCCAGTTACCTATTAGATCTAAAGTGTTTCTTAGCAATTACTTTCTCTGCTTCATACATTACAGGAAACAAGGCATTGGTTATCTATTAACAGTGAATATATTTACCTTTAGACCTCCTTTGTCATCTGGCAACATTGGGACATTTAAGGATTGCCTACTTCTGGAACAAGGCAAAGACGATCTGTTGTTCAGTTTATTCTTGTCTTTGTCTACTTGCATGCATGCTGATGCCAGTAACCGTACAAGCTCTGTGTCTAAAAGAAAACAAATTAAGATAAATATTTAGTCTGTTTTGCTTTCCCAAACTAATACTGATACACTGACACTTTCTGTATAAATCCCATTTAAGTAGAACATGACATGTCAGACAACTGATCTACTTCTCCAACACAAAGCAGACGAATCCCCAAAACCTTCTTTCTTGGCCTATGTTTCCCACCCCTTCTCCCCACACAGTGGGCGGCAGTCTTACCATCACCTTTCTAAAGGTATTTATCAATATAAATAAGCATGCTATTCAGTCAGAATCAGTCATGTGTGACCAAGTGAACTGCCTCCTCTCACACTTTGTAGAAGTTAAGAATAATATTGTAATGCTCCCTTTTCTCACCTGACACAGAAGAGAGTAGAGAAAAATGAATATTCTTTCTTCAAGCGCAGGTTGCAGAAAAGAAGCTTGAAATTAAATCCCAAAGAGAAAGGAGATGTTCAGCCTGGACAATGAAGGGACTGAAAAGACATGGTAAGAAAAAAGGTGGACAAACAAGTAAGGAAAAAAGGAAGAGGAAGGAAAAAGAACAAGTATGAGATGAGGACAGGAAAGCAAAAAAATATTCTGTAAATCTATATTTTATACAGAAATCAGGAAAGATTTTCAGAAGGGCAGACAGAACTGACCTATATATTCCTCTTGCTGAACAGGTAACAAGACAAACTACTCCGATGGTCAAGATGTTAGTTATAAAACAAACAAACAAACAAACAAAACCCAAAACATTCACTATATTTATTTTCTAAAGTTTCATACCATTAGTGATCTACTTTTGACAAAGGAAAAGTATCTGCTAATGACCAAAAACACCATAATGAGTAAATACAGAGAAAACAAACATTAGTTTCATCAGCAGTAGTGGTTTTTGGCTTCAGATAAAGCAATTCAGGTACCAGGCAAGGTTAAGAATAACAAATTACACTGGCTAAACAAACTACAATAAAAACTAAATGTGTTTCACTGAAGCTTCCCCAAAACATGCTGCCTTTCTCTAAAGCACTCCCATGAAAAACAACCTGAACCCTGAAGTGTGATTTATTCTCAGCCTTTACGGACCTAGCGCGAGGCTCAGCCAGGAGTTCACTAGTTTTGTTCTGATTGCACGCCCTTCGTCCTGCCCCTTTACTGCTGTTTACTGAGTGGAAATTTCTAGCTCCAGTTCATAGCTCTGTGCTAACGACACTACAGAATACCTGGGCCACCACAGTCAAACGCTACTGAACTGGCTCTGGTGACATAAAAAACACAGTTTGGAGCATCTTCAAAAACAAAGGCAAGAGTTAAGTCATAAATGTATACACTCATCTAATCAATTAACTCAAAACACACCACTTTCAGGCAGTATCCTTTCTTAGTCCAGTCCAGCCTGGACCTCAGGATACTTCCTAGCAACTTTAATGTATTTTCTAGATTGGAAAGGATGTTTATCTGTTTATGTTGTACATTTCCTAAGTGCTCTTTGAAATACCATACCTGGATCATTCAGCAGCATTATCAGGTCAAAAGCTGTGTATCCATTTTTTGCACGAAGATTGACATCAGCTCCTTGATTTAACAAATACTTTACAACATCTTTGTTTCTTTAAGAGAAGAAAAAAAGGCATTGCTCGTGTTAAAAAAAAAACACACAAAACCAACAAAAACACCCTAATACTCCATTTTCATCCTTTTACACCATTGCTCTTCAATTAGAGATCCAAGTTTTACCTTTTCTATAGCTAACCAGGTCTAAAATTTGTTCGCAAGCTGTTCAGAAGTTCCCAATTCCTTTGTCGATCACTGTTTACTCACTATGAATTACACTAATCAATACGCATAAAGTCAGCCTAAAAATCCTAATTTGAATAGTCAGTTTCTTAAACTGACCCTTAGGAACTGACTCTGGAATTTGCTGCCAAACGCCTTCCCAATGAAAAGCCGTTAATGCCTAGGGAAAAAAAGCAGATGGAAAGACAAAGGTCAGTCCAGTAGTCATCACATACCAACACTCATACTTCAACACAGCCTCATATTCAGAACAGGTAAAAGATTGCATACAGAAAAGCCAAATTTACTGAAGATAATTTATAAACTCCAAACAGTACTTCACTTAATTAGAGATATAAATTACATAATTGAGCAGGCACATTATCGCTTCCTTGAGGTGTTTAATATGCGAAAACAATCAGTATTAAATTATAATCAACACAAACACCTTCCAACAAAAGCTCATAAAAGCTAGTTGCATAAAAGGAACTCACCATCCCGTTCCCATTAGTCCCCCACCCCTCCCAGACACCTGAATAAATAAGCAGGACTTGCCTCACAAGTTAAAAACAATACTGTAATTCAGCCTGCAAAATAAGTGAGCAGACAACAAAGCTAGGGAAAATATATTTAATACAAAATTCCTCTTAAGCAGAGACTGACCTTTTATAAAAACACTGACATGCATAAGCAACACAGAGCAAAAACGTTCTTAAGTAGCAACACATGACTGCAAACTGTAATACTGAAGCTGACCAACAGATCTCAACCTCTCCACTTCAGAGCATTACTTGTGATCGTACAGACCGTTTCCACTTCTGAACACACTCCAGATAAAAATCAGCCTACAATGGAGGAGGAATGTTCCTCCTCTCTTCTAACAAAACTCTGCTTATCCCCACCACAACTCCTCTGAATACTTCCCATTACTTTCGTTCTCTTCCTTAAAACTGCGTCATCCTCCCATCCTGCTTTCTAGTCCTGCACCTCGAGGGCTCACAGAGACACAATCCATCAGTGGCCCTGGCACAGACCTTGCTTGCTCCCTCCTTCAAACCAGACACCCTCCACAGCGCTGTCACTCCTGAGAAAGGGTAAGCTGAGGCTCTGCAGAGGTTAAAGATTTCCACTTGTTACAAAAATTCACAGCTGGCCCACACTAACTAAGGAGAAAAGCTAGGATGTAAAGTACACAATTACAGGGGTAAATATTTATTCATGCACATGAGGTGTCACAGCCAACTTGGGGCACCTCAAATGTGGTTTTACAGAGTTCTGTTTTTACACAGGGTTCTTGTATGCTTCGAGCGTTTAGGTACAACACAATTTGCCTCATCACTAACACCCAGACTACCGATTACTAATCATAGTAAAACTTTGCAAAGCAACCGTATCCTGCTGCTCATCTATTGATCCATACATCCCTGAAGTCAGTCTTGCTATTGTTACTTAACTATGATGCCAGACAACACTGGGAGGGTTTCAAAGCGTGTTAGAGGGGCTATAATGCTGGCGTTATCTTGGTTGGCTAGGGGTATCTTTTATCCTTCCTAGACAGCTCTAAGTTTCTAAGAAGCCAAGTCTTTATTTCCAGGTCTGGGGTGTCCTTCTGGTTCTTCCACTGAGCTGGTGTCTTTTAATTTGCTTTAGCTAAGTATAAACAATATCAATGTCTCCAGTAAAATTCCACTACCTCAAAGTGTATTAACAAAGTTAATATACTTCTATACTGCTATAAAGATTGATTGATATAATAGGGAAGGGAATTTTCATAACATAGTCCTCCAGGAAACTGAAAGGGCAGTATCTGAACACACGCTCAGTTGTGCTCTGCGCTTCCACACACGAGCACCTGAGTATCAGCAAGGGGACATGCCAGCAGCCCTGCACACCACTTTCTGCTGGCGGCTTCTACTTCAGCTACGCGCTGGGGGAGCTGCCGAAAAGAGAAACGGCTGCACCAGAAAAACTGGTCTTCGGGCACTTCTGTGAAATGCCTGTCACTGCTATCAGCACTGCATTGGTGAGGAAGCAGAGGATCTCATGTAGATCCGAGGAACTACTTCAAAAAATCTTCACAAAACAATGACAATTTGACCTCTTATTTTTCCCCTTTGTTGCACTTTCATGGTCCAATGAGATCTGCTGACTAAAAATAAAAGCTGGAGCAGAATCATAGATTCACAGATTTCTAGGTTGGAAA